AAAAAAAAAAAAAAAAAAAAACTCATGTTGAGCGGATATATTTGTATAAAAGCACGCCCTGAGGAGTATGAGATTCTTGAGATGTGATGAGCTAGGAAAGTAGGTATGATTGGATCTTTTTCCTAGACAGGACTTTACATGGTCAAAAAGATACCCTAGTATATAAAGTGTGATCAAGTCTAATTTAGAAAAAAATGCTTTTTTTACGCGCATAACATACAATTTACATATTCATATCACGAGCAAGTGCTAGAGCGTCAGAGATTTTTTCGTCAGGACCCCTCCCCGGCGTATTGCAAGTCACTAGAGCTCGACAAAAAGTTCGTTCTTGATGATGCTGGTTTAACCCAATCTATAGACAATTTGCATATCACAATTTGTCAAGGATAATAACGCTCTAGCTTTACTATCTATCAAGGACGAATTCCAGAGCCATCCCAATAACATTCACTATGCCACTAATTCGATATATTACCATAGATAAATTTAAGGCCCTAAATTAAAAGAATGTCGATTACGTTAGACAAGAGATTATTTTCTAAATAGAAGTTTTTAACCACCCATAGATTAAAATGGAGACGCCAAGGCAAGAGGTAACTGAGACGAGAGATAAATCGCCTCGCCACTACCAGAGGCGGCCACCTTAATCAGCATCGAATTGCCTTTTCATTTTGGCGAGAGGCGCTATGAGGCGCGCCTCTGCTCCTTTATGTTTTTGTAGTAATAATAAAAGGAAATGTGTTGCATTTTTATGTGTTAAGTAGTGAATTGAATTAGCTCATCGTCGAACATAGACTTTCACATGGCAGAGAACTGGATTAATTACCTGAAATCCGACCTCCACTAAGCGCCACCATTCACCTCAGTCACACAGTTGTCACGCTGCACATGCACCTCCGCTACTTTGCTCCACCCTGCAGTCCTTTCTTAAACGTTGTAATAGGTGTTTGATGTTAGTTTACCAATTTGACTATTTGAAGATTTGTTATATTTCTGTTTTTCCTTATCAATTTCAAATATTATAATAATTATTACATTGTCATTTTTTGTTTCCAATTTATATTATAATGAATATGATTTTATTTATGTCATTTGAACTTAAATATAATATTGTACCATCTATAATATTGTTTTCTTCTAACTTGTTGGTGGCTTTTGGAGTCGAGGCCTCGCCATAGCGAATTGCCTCGTCTTGCCATTCGTCAATTCAAACTAGTAAACATCAATTTATTTTTCTTTCTTTTTTTTAACAGAATTCTAGTTAGGTTGAAAAAAAAAAATTTACAGCACCAGTAACCAAGTCACAGCCAAGGTGAAAACTCATAACCAATCCTCCATGTATCACATTTCAGGTACAATAGACGAACATCCACGTACTCTCGGTTACTCAACAGAAAGTAATAACAATCCAGACAATAAAATATGAGGGATTGTTATGAATAAATTTCTCAAAGGAAAGATGAAAAGAAAAAGTATGAATTTTTCACGAAAAGTATCAGAAACAAGCAACCTTAACAATTTATGTTTTACAAAGGCTGCCAAATATCAAGACATGCAAACTAAGAAACAATGGTAATTCGTTTTGTACAAAGTTTGAATTTTTACGGCTTTATTTGACAAGATGTGTTCAACCGCAATCATATATATTGGATTATATTCGCATAAATTGGTTTTGTAGGATTTTATTTAATCCACTATTATGGTCGTATATGTGTTTGATGAATGTTGTTGAATGTGATAAATGAGTTTTAATTTGTTTTTATTGACTCGGACATATCGAGAAATTTAATGGATGAATGTTTGTAATAATTATTTGCGCGGGGGTTGATCGAAAGACTTAATTATTTGTATAGAAAACATGTACATCCATTCATTGGATCTAGGATCGAATTAAGTAATTATATATTATATTTTTCGTATTGTGATCGTGTGTTGATGATTGAGAGATCACAAAGATCAACGAACCTCGAAGACCCGATCAGAATCGGGCCCGAGCGACCGCCAGCGGACCACCGCAGCCTGCGCGGCTGGGGGCTTTGCCGCGGGTGGGCCAGGAGGAGGTGACGACGGTTATCGCGTCCCGGAGGACCCAGTCAGCTCGCGCGATTTGCGAGGAGAAAAAATAAATAAATAAATAAATTTTTTGACGTGTTTCCACCGACGGCGGCGGAGACCAGCGGTGGCTCGGGATGGCGGCAGTTTGAAGGCTGGTTAGGCTTGGGTGGTTTTCTTGCTGGATAAGCAGTACAATATCTATCAGTATTCTACTACAGTGGGAGTTCCTATTGAACAAGGAAAGAAACTGATAATGTTTCATTGTTTAAGGAGATCAATAATTAATGGTCATAATAGTGAATTTATTTATTTAAATTTGTTATGCCAATTATTTATTTATTTATGCATGAGAATTAATTATTGCTTTATGCATTTGCATGAATATTTATGCATGTTAATTAATTATTGCTTTATGCATAAGATTAATTTAGAATTGCATAAATATTTAAAGATCCTCATTTAAATTAGGTTTGTCCCATTTTTGTTGCGTTTTT